CCTCGGTAACATCTTAGATGCTGTTAAGCTGAGCAGAGCCAGAAGAGCTCACTGGAAGACTGTGTCTAGTTCAATGCCTGATTAAGTGTCAGTACAGATACAGTGTTATAGACTGCCTACTGGGAAACAGCTCTCTTCAGAAGGATCTGTACCAAGTCTGTATCTTAACTGATTTGATAAAAAAGATTGTGTTGGTCTTAGCTAAAGCAAACTGAAAGACCTAGTTTCTTCAAAAAACTAGTTGTTACTGACTGGTTCATTTAGTATCTTTTTATTTATGGACCCCTAAAAACTGCTACAATTCATGTTCCTGATTCTCTTATAATGGAAAACACTTCCATTCTGCATAGGAGTGGTTTGTTCACATTATTTTATTTTAATTTTTAGATTTAGTTATTTCATTTCATGTAAATGTGTTTGCTCGCACATGCACATGTGTACCACATGTGTGCCTGGTGCCTGCAGAGGCCAGGGGAAGCGTCAGATTCCCTCGGCTGGAGGCATAAATGGTGTGAGTTACCAGATAGATGCTGGGAACTGAACACAGGTCCTCTGCAAGGGCAGCAAGTGCTCTTAACTGCTGAGCCATTTATCTGGCCCTGGTCCTGTGTTTTAAAGGAACAGCAGATGATTAAACAGTGTAATTGTGTTACACAAGATCATCTCCATTGATCAAAATGAGAAACTGCAGCAAGGGAAATAAGTGTGACCTCCTGCAGTGGAAGCATTATGAAGAAGATATTTTCTCAAGGTGCATCTGTGCTTTCTGGACGAGGGACACAAAGTTCATCCTGGTTTTTCATTCCAAAGAGTAACAGAAGAGTAACCTCTGGGATGGGGATCATGGCTTTGGAAATCAGTCGTTCCCTAAATCACACTATTTATAGTCAAGTTACTCAGTGTGGAAGGAATGCAGTTAAAAATATGGTAGCATGCTTCTTACAATGCTGAGTGTCCAAGGGCACTTTCTTTTCTGAAACAAAGTTTTGAGAAAGATGATAATTTTAGAAGCTGGACACACAGTCCTGATCCTGTCCCCAGCTCTGGTTCCCAGTACCAACAGCAGAGAACTCCACTTACTCATATTTTAAAAACTTGTTAGTCAGGGTTCAAAGTGTATGCTTTTATCTACAAGTGCACAATGGGAATCTCAGAAGAAATCTTGGATGGGTTATTGGTGTGTTTTCTATGCTATATTGGCCGTGTTAGGGAGAGAGGCCTTGAAATTCTTCTTCCTTATTGTATCAATCAGTGGGTCTGACACACATTATGTGTTAGATGAATGAAAGGTGTGAATATTTAATTTGAGGGAAGTGAGGAAGGCTTATAGCTTCAGGCATCTCCACAGTCTTGAGCAAGCTGTGTTTTTGAAGCTCTTTGGAAGCAAGTAGTGGCCTGGGCTTGTCTTGGGAATGATGTATTGAGTAGCCTGGCTCCTAGGTTATCAAGATAGCATTTCTCTCAATATATTCATGGTCACAGATCCTAGCTAGTCTTCTTATAACAGGACTAAGAGGTAGCTTATTTGAGGAGAATTTGCTAATGAACGGTTGTGAATTCTGTTCTTTTGGATGAGATGCATATCCTGGTCTGTATAGTTCAGATGGAAACTTCAAGAGTCCACAGTGCAGTCTTTCTGTGGATTTCTCCCAGCCATCCGCGAGGACACCAGCTTTCTCCTCACCATCACTTGACAAGTGAAGCCACGCCAGGTCCTCCTTAATCCTCACCTTCTGTGCTGAACTGTCAAGAACACAGTGGGCTACAGACGGTCAGGAAGGGAACCCAAACCCAAACAACAGTGTTAAGACTAAGGGATATGTCCTTGCTGCTTTGAGACTGTCATACGCATGTAGCCACACTTCTCAGCTGGTCACTAGATTTCATTTTTACTTTTAGCACATTTCTCATACTGTTTTATTCTTCGATATTCAGGAGGACTTTTCCAAAGTTTTGTTTTTGTAATTGGGATTTCAATTTATTTATTTCTCTGTTTGTTTGTTATGGTTGGTGGGGGCGGGGCGGATGGGGGAGAGTGAACACCGGCCGGGAAAGGCTGTGTTCTCAATGCCTCACTGATAGTCTCTGGATGCTAGCGGCGTATATACCCAACCACTGTTCTTGTGCAGTACTTGCCTATAGACTCCATCTCCGTTACTAAAGACCCACCTAAGAGACCAGTGTCTTCATGTCTTTTCTTGGAAATGGGATAAAACACCCTGACAGAAGCAATTTAAGAGCTTATTTAAGGTTTATTTTGGTTTATAGTTTCAGAGGTCCATGGTCCATCATAGCAAGCGCACCTGGCAGCAAGCAGGGGAACAGGGTGGCAGGAGGAAGTGGCTGCATGGTCACATTTTGTCTACACCAAGAAAGCAGAGTGAACAGGAAGTGGAGGTGGGCCGTGAAGCCTCAAGTCCCACACACAGGGACCCATTTCCTCCATGCAGCCCTTCTTCCTAAGAATTCCACAACCCTCCCAAATAGAGTCAACAGCTGGGGCCACGGATTCACACAGGTCAGCTGGGTGTGGGAGGGGTGGCCCTTCACATTTACATCACAGCCGAGGCTTCATGGGCAGTGTGTAGGACTGGAAATGGGCAGGCTTACTTTTCTTCAGTGTTTTGGCTTTGAACGTTCAAAAACTTCCTGGCTTTCCCATATGTCAGCCATGCGGACTTCTTAACCTCCTTCTGCCCCTCTGTGAAGATGGAAAACCCTAATGCACGTGTGTCTCGTCTTCTGCCTATCGGATGGGTCCCTCAGCAGTGCAGTAGCGGCGGAGGGAGGGCATGCTGCCGTGTCTGCACTCATCCCCTCTCTTCCGAATAGCTACCGTTAATCTCAAAATTTTCACCGTGCGTTTTGTTTCCAGCCTGGTCACCACTCTTGGGTTTGTTGGTTTGTTGTTCTGCACTCTTGTGTTGTACTTTTCTGTCCCTAGCTGGAGACTTCCTCTTCTGAGGACTTTCTAAGATCATGCACTTCCCAGAGCCCAGGAGCAGAGTTTTAATGAGTTCTTTACTAGGCAAAGAGGAAGGAGCTGTGCTGTTTGTCCTCGGATTCCAGCCGGCCTAGAACCAGGGTCCCAGAGCTGGCTGAATGTGGATGACTGTGTGCATATAAAATGACTGAGGCTTCTGTTCCAGCCGCTGGCCTGAGAGAATGACTGAGTTTATTAATGATCTTGCAGAGCTATGAGTTGACAGACGATTTGTTTTCATTATGTAAACCAGCGTGGTCTGGGATTATGCAGATTTCCACCTTTTTTACTTATAAGGCAAAAAATATTCATTAAGGATATCAATAAAGACCCTGCCTGCGATTGCGTCTCCAAGGCTGTTCCCTGCATGCTGAAAGACAGAAGAGAAAACTTACATGGCCGAGAGAGAATGAGAGATTGATTGGAAGGCAAATTATAAACCCATCTCAGCTCTCGGCCTGCAGGCTGGGAAGTAACATTATTTGTTGTCAGGGATGGAAAACAACTCAGATTCAGGTCCAAGTGACTATCTCACGTTGACACTGCCGTCTCTCTGCCAAGCGCAGCTCCGTTAGACAGAGATTAATTAGGCTGGCAGAGGGGGCCTGGGCTTCCAGAGCAGTGCTGAAGCAGGCAGCTCTGCTGTCCTAGTCTCCGAGTTGGAGGTCTGCAGGCTTGCCCCCCAGGAAGACGACAACCCACTTTCCTTGTTAAACCCACAGCAAACCCGGGTGGGAGGGTGGATAGGAAACAGACTCTCTGCTCCTACAGTAATGCGCTGCACTGTACTTGTCTGCTGACTCTGTTAATGCCAGGGAGCGGGAGGGGGGGCGCTAGCAGGCTGTCCCCATGGAGACAGGGGGGACCAGCAAGTAATCTGTAGACTCGAGTGGCTTATCAATCTTTCCTTTGGCCTTGTATAAACCATGACAGACTTTTTATTATTCCTGCACATGATATGGAAATGCTAGTGTGTACGCACACATGGATATATTTTGCCCATTACTTGAATTATGGGACAGATAGGATAAAAATAAGGAAAACTCTTGGGGAAGTAGCCCCGAGTTAGTTCGTTGAAAACTGTGTACTACAGGCTTGGCATAAGGACCTTAGCGTTTTCCCAGAAGCTTTCTCACAGGGAGTCCTTGGTCTGAACATCTTCAGCTTTGCTTGTATAGACACAGTCTATTTCATCAAGGGCTGGGGCTATACGGCGTCCCCACACCCCACCACCACCTTACTGAGAACAAGACGGGCAGAGCAGGGGCTGGGCAGGGGCTCTTGTCCTCAGGTGAGGGTGCGGAACCTGGACAGCCCCCAGTCCATCCTCTCCAGCGTTCTGGGCTCCTGGCAGACGCCAGTCCTACCGTCCTGCCTGCCATCCTGCCGGCTTAGTAACCCCCTCGGGGCCCCGCAGCAGGCTGGCTCGGTGCTTCTCCGGGCTGCGGTGGGCACTGGCAGTATGACTCCCACAGTGGACCTTTGTAGCGTGTGGATTCGCTCCTCTCCAGGAAAACTGGGATGAGGATTTTTCTTTTACTGTTAACACTTTATTGCACGGATTTTTCCCCCCAGTGGTGGCGCTGAGCTGTGCTAGCAGAAGGGGGCGGTACTTTCCCTCCGGACCCTGACTTGGAAACCAAGTGCGACTCTAGCGCATCAGCAGAGGCAGCTGTGCTAGCGGAGCAGCTGTGCGCCTTTCTTTCTGCCGAGGTTAGCGTGTTTAGGTTTGGTTTTTTTCCACGTGGAAATGCTTGCCTTCCTCTGTCCTCAGCGGGGCTTTCGCGCTTTTAAATGTTGATGCTTTCGTTTTTAAACCAAATATTTTGCATTTTACTTATTAAAAGAGGAAGGGGGTATACTCTATCGCTTGGCGGGGAGGGTTGCAATATGTTCAGATGAATTGTGTGTTATATACTAAATCACATGCCTTTTACCATTATTAAACCTCACTTGTATTTAAAGGGTGGAAATTTACAGGGGTTACCTCCTATTTCTTTTCTTCTTACCATTTTAGACTCTTTTTTTTCCATTGCGAAGAGAGACGCCAAGATCATTTTTTAACCAGCGAAGGCCTTACGTAGCACTCATTCTTGCAGGTAAGTGAGTCTTTGTCACAGGTGACTTGGAAAGCAAACCTTATATAGTCTGCATCATTGGCATGTCCCAGCTAGGTACGGAATGTGTTCAATTCATTTTACTTTTAATGGTTACATTGATGCAAAGTTATCTCACGGTATCAATATATTTTTAAGCAGCTCAACTGCTTTGCTTTGGATCTTCTCATCCACTGGCTTCAATCTCTATTTCACTTTCAAAACTCTTTTGGTATTATTTCTGTCTTCTTAGAGCATTAATCAACAGCACAGCTAAAAGGACTTTATAATTCTTTATAAAAAATGTTGTCATCTTAATCAGGAACACAGTTGTGACAGAACATTAACCTTTTAAAAGTAGTCATCCTGCAACCAAATGGGTACAGTGACTTTTGATCAAGCTACAAAGTAATTGTTACAAGTGAAGTGAGCTGGTGAGATGAAGCTCCCTTGTAACATCCCTAGAGGTGTTCATTGAAACTACTTATGAATAGCTTCCTTATTAATATATACTGTCGGATTAGGCCTTGGAATAAATGTTACATCTGTGATAGCTTGTCTTGCTCAGTAATCAAGACTTTTGGGTTTATTTCCTATAAGATATTTAATTACAACTGGCAAGATTAATGTTTAAAAACATGTAAGTCCAGAACTTGAGGCCGAAGAATTAAGATCTCCTAATTAGAATCAGGCTCGTTCTACCTAGCTAGCAATGCCAGTGTGAGCTAGGAGAGATCCTGCCTCAGTCTAAGCAAGAGTCTTGGAGGCATCATTAACATTGGAGAATGAATGGAAAATTGTGCACATGCTTCCTGTTTTCAGCAATGAAACCTTTTTTTTTTTTTCAGTTTTCTCTAGAAATTCAAATGAAAAGTAGACACAGAAATGAAGACAGGTGAGCTGTGCCTGGCAGACACCTTTGTCTTTGAAAAGTGCTGTTTTCTCTTTAACACATTTTAACAGAGATTTTGTTCATGATTTTGCATTATTGAGAATGGGAGAAATGTTCTAACATTGTTATCCTGATTAAGATAAAAAAGTGGAGGTTAAGTTACATGACTTGATTCTACATTTTGTACTAAGATGATAGAAAATGAGGAGTTTTAAAAGGGACCACATTTGAATTGTTTATAATAGAAAACATAAATAACCTCAGAAAAGGCGAGTAATATGAACACAATAACTGGAGATTGCTTCTTCATAAATTCTTCTCTGAGTAGCAAGTCAGGGGCTATGAAGACTGATTGGGGCCAACTTCAGGGCACAGAGAATGGCTCTCATCTTGAGTCCTAGGATGCTTAATGTTTTCAGGAATAACTTGGATGGTGTAAAAGAAAACACTGTCATTTAAAAATCATGTGTGCCATTAACTGTTAAGAGCCTTGCGATGACAGTAGTAAGGAGCCAGGGTGAAAATTAGCAGGGGAAGCAAGCAAAAGTTGATCAAAATCTATGTGGGGAAATGCGAAGTTAGGGGATGTCTGTGTTCTAAGGCTCTTGGGTAGAAAAACAGGGGAGTAGAGCGGCAGGCTGTAGAGCATACATTGGATATGAACAACAGTTACGCTTCTCTTGAAACCTAGTAGGGCACTGGGAGACATTGGCCAGGAGCCAGGAGGCCTGCTGGCGCGGGAGATTTGCCAGCCGCTGCTCCTCACATTTACTAACTCAGGTCTGAACAGCTGGCAGCAGGGATGGGCAGGTGCCCCACACAGCACAGGGCTGCTAATCATGGGACCCGTGTGGAAGGCATCGATTCTAACTCAGACATTTAGAACATCCTGTGTCCTGTATCATCTCTCTTGTGGTGATGGAATGACTGTCCAGACATCTTAAGAGAGGAAGGATCGATTCTGGCACATAGACCATGGCACACAGTCTGTCGTGGTGGTGGAGGTGTAGTGGCAGGAGCTGCTGTGGCTGTGACCAGAGGAGTGTGAAGTGGATGGTTGCATCACGCGGCAGCCAGGAAGCAGAGAACCGGGGTAGGCTTGAGAGGTTTATATCCCATAATCCCCACTCTGAGGGATCTAAATCAAGACTCTATAGACAAAAGGCCTCACAACCTCCCCAAATAGCACTAATTGGTGACCAAAGGTTCTATCATATGAGTTGAAGAAGGCATTGCACAATCAAACCATAATCAAGTCCTACATACCTTCATCCCAGAGCCTGCCCCGACATGGTCTCTTCTCAGGGAATCAACCCTCACCACAGGTTTATCCTCATTTGGAACTTGCCACAGCTCACTGATGTATTTCCAGCATCTGAATTCCCATGCCCATAATTCTCCTTTTCCTGTCAAGAAAGAAATTTGCTCTTTACCCTGAGTGCTGCCTCTATCCCTGGTCACACCTTCAAGCTACTGGTCACTTTGGACTTGTCTTCCCACTTTCTGGTCCCTTCTCGTGTCTGTTCCTCACCTATTCACTACGATTGTTTGAAGCTGTGGAGTTGCACACTATTCTTCCTACTGGGATGCTGTCATCTTCTATCGGGTGGGATGCTGACATCTTGTAATTTCTCAGGGAACTGTTGCTCAACCTTTAACGCTCACCTCCACAGCATTCTACATAGTTAGTGAAGCATCCTGCCTTGACATTGCTTAGCTCCTGTGTGATGCCAAGTGGAGGAGTGGGATAACTCAGACCTGTACGTGCTTCCTCTCAGTGTATTCCCTGGACACCTTTGTTGTGTCTCTTCTGGGGAGACATAAATAAACATCTATTTATCCTAGGCAAAGCAGCAATGACAGAACAAACAACTCCTTCCCCTCAAGTCTCACTTGGTGAGCTGCTGAGTTTATTGGAGTGACTTACAGGAAGAAAGGATGAGAGGTCACAAATAGGACCATGGTGACGCATACGCAGCTACGTCTCCCCAGTAAGAGTGATGACTCACAGGAGCGACATCCTGGCAGTTTCCTGCACAAGTATCAGTCATCTCCATGGAAGAGTTCCTCTCCTCCAGCAATTGCTTACTGATTACATAACCTCATGGAGGGGACTTGTGAATTGTATAAAAATTTAAGTTTCCCAAGGATGGTAGGTTTCCTTAGGTTTCTCTCTCTCCTCTCTCTCTCTTAAGAGCCCCTATCCCTCCAAGAGAGAATGTTTCAGTTCAGAGGAAATATCTATGTAACACCTTTTACCTTCTCTTCATGGACACATCACCCCCTCCTTACACAATGCTGTTCTGAGCTCACCCTGCCCTTTCGAATTTCAGTGGTTCAGCTCTTCCAGTGATGTCTGGGGACAGGGATTCTGTTCGTAGACATCTAACCTTGTAAGTCTTTGCTGTTCTTCTACGAGTTCATAAAAGTTCACAACTATCAAGCAGCATAAAGTGGAAAACAGAGTGGGTATTAGAAGTGTAACTACATACTTCATGGTGACATTGTCACTAATGACAAAGGGGGTTCTGGGGGCTGGGAAGAAAGGACTTACAGCACAGGTGACTCAGTGAGGATCCTTCGAACCCACCTCAGAGCCAGGCTCTAAACTGTGCCCCTCTAATCCTAGAGCTTCCTGACTAGCAAGTCTAGTAAAAGAGCAAGTTCTAAGTTTAATGAAATATCCTATCTCAAAAATGAAGAGGGAAAACAGTAGAGGAGGGAACTCCAAAGTTCTCTAGTGGGTTTGTGGAGGTGATGTGCATTTTCTAGACTTTCATTTGTTTCAGTTGACACCTGATTGGGTCTTGCTTCTCCTTTTTCCCATCTGTCCTGGGGCTGCTCCCTGCAGTTCCCTTTCCATCCGGTTTCCTGCTTCAAGACTATGCTTCATTCTCATCTTCAGGTTGTTCTGATGGCTCCTATCTGTGGCACTTTCCTCCTTCCTTATACTTTTCGCTCTCCAGTTCTCGGGGCTCAATTGGATGAGGAGTGGTGGGGGTCATGGGAGGAACCTTTTCTGGATCCCCTGTGGGTAGGGTTGTTGTGGCTTCTTTATTTTCTTCATTGTTGATATAGACATACCACAGTTTCGGCATCATTGACTTCAGAAGAGAAATGGTCTCTGTTTTTAGGATCTAGTAAATACCTGATTAGAGCTATCTTAGAATAGATTTATGATATCTAAAAGTCTCTTCAGTGCCTTGAACTATGAGCATTTTCATTTGCTTAGTTTAGTACTGTGCTCACTAGTCATCCACTACCAAAAAAATAAAAATAAAAATTCCTTTTTGGCTTCTACACTACCATGGGGCCTAGGGTTGTGAACCACGTAACCTAACTCCAGCTTCAGAACTCCCAAGTTAAACATGTTAAGAGAGAAGTCAAAGAAAGTGGAGGCAACCCCAGATCTATTTTCAGATTGATAAAATATGGTCTGCCCTTGCATTGGTGTATTATTCGGCCTTAAAGGAGGCAGGAATTCTGACACATACTAAACTGTGGGTGAGCTTTGCAGATAGTATGCTAAGTGAAATAAGCCAGAAAGAAGGCAGCAGATTCTATATGATGCCACATGTATGCAGAGTAGCCATACTGGCAGCCATATAGGGTGCAATTGCCAGAGGTAGGGGAAGATTAGGAGTCACGTTGTTGAATGGTTCAGGAAACTGGGTACAGTGGCACCTTAAAGTATGTTTGTATTTTACCCTTGTCAACTTATAGTTGGCTAAGATGGTCAATTTTATGTTGGGTACACTGATATAATTTTTTTTACTTAAATTTTTATTTTTTTATATTAATTACAGTTTATTCACTTTGTGTCCCAGCTATAGCCTCCTCTTTCCTCCCCTCTCAATCCTATCCTCCTTCCCTCATCTCCTCCCTGCCCCTCTCTAAGTCCACTGATAGGGGAGGTCCTCCTACCCTTCCATCTGACCATAGCTTATCAGGTCTCATCAGGACTGCCTGCATTGTCCTCCTCTGTGGCCTGGCAAGGCTGTTCTCTCCTCGAAGGGGGAGGGGTGTTCAAAGAGGCAGCCACTGAGTTAATGTCAGAGACAGTCCCTGTTCCCCTTACTAGGAAACCCACTTGGATACTGAACCATGGGCT